TTGGCGAAAAATTATCTCGGGAACCATGAAAGTTAGGAAGCTGAAATTTCTGAACGAGTCAGACAGTATATCTACTATTTCTTCATATATGAAAATCTAAAACAGTTATATTTTTAGTAAGCAAACGTCCGCTGGACGTAACTGCGCAGAACGCATGATCGCACCGGCTACCCTGGTGCGCTTCGCTATTTATCTGACCTGAGCAGCAGCAGTGGAATATTACTACTGCCTTCTCCCCAGCCCATTCCTCTCTCATAACTTTACTAATTAAAAACACAAAGTCAAGAAGTCGAAGACCTTTGGTGCTGAAAAAGAATGTCTACGACCTAATGGACCGAAACATTCCTGCACATCCAATTTTTAATTTCTTGTATTTTATATATCTATTATATTATATACATTACATATATCCCAGTATCTTTATTAGGTGACACATCCATGCGAGGAGCTTACTAATATGTATAAATCACGGAGCTGCCGGGGAGACTCTTCCAAATCTGACACATACAGATTCAATGATCCAATGTAAACAAACGTTTTCAACAAATCTTCAGATGAAAGCAAAAGCTGAAATCAGTTACGAAATACAAATGGGCTGCAGAAAACGCGTTTCGAGAAGAAAATTGTACATAAAAGTAAAGATATAACACAGAAAAAAACAGAGAATAAGCAGAAAGAACGAGGAAGAAAAGTGAAAAATAAGGTAAAATGTTAGGCGCATGTAATGAATAATTACCTTTATGTATGATGCGGATGTCCTTGACACGGAAACCCTGGCGCGCTGTTAAAGCCATCAGCTGTAATTTGAAACACTTGAGTATTACGACTGCTCTTCTGCTGGCCCAGAAAGCATAAGCCCGAGATTGTGCCGAAGCTTCTTCCAACCACCACCAGCTTTCCGCGCTCATCTACCCATATCCCGCAAAAATACCCTGACTACTTGAAACCTCACCACAAAAAGCTAACACTATTATGCAGCCATGCTTAATGCCAAAGCAGCGCCAGCTGGTAGCACTCTCTGCTTCATGCTTTTTCATTAGAAATCAACCATATTACATCCGCTCTATGCGTTTGAAATGAAGCATTACAAAAACGCGCTATAATATGACGAAGTATGTGTGCGCACAGCACAAAGCTTCAACTTCACAAGTGTGAAAGTAGCGAAGGCGATATTTTTGAAGCCTATTTCTCGGCTACTCACGAGTTCAGAACCTCCTGATTTTTAATGCGCCTCTAAGTTCTAACGAAAACATGGAAGCATTGTTTCCCTGAGGTGTGATATTACGGTGTTGCGATCTCGTAACCTCAACTGTGGCCTCGCTTTAATTTCATTATCCCCCCCCCCCCCTTCTTCCCCTATCCCCTCCAGCACCACCCATCTAAAAAAGTGGAAAAAATTGGTCAAAAACCCTTGTCTCAACAAAATGAAACACAATATTACATGCTGTGTCAAATTTCTCTACTCTGAGTTCACAATAATTTATGGCAAAAGCGTGTAACAGTTTGGTCCCCCTGTATGAATTATTACGTAGGTTCCGCCTGCAGATGAAATGCAAGATCCAGGAGTTGCCGGAAATGCAAGCAAAGTGATCAGCATGTGGATTTACCCTTTCAACAGCTCGATAACAGCAAAAAACACAAAGAAAAACAAAAATCAAAACATACCGCGTCTCTCTGCGAGTCAAGCGGCAACATTTTCATGACGATTTTGTAGTGCGGCTGTCCGTAAAGCGCTGTATGCGATGCATACTTATCCGTCTGTGACTGCTTCTGCATCGACGAAAGATATGGCAGCGCACTCGCAAATTCCTTGGATCTCTAAACAATCGGCTCCTTCTCAAACATTCTCGCCAGTTAAGCATTAATCGCCCAACATTTCTGATACAAAAAAACCGTAATAAATGTATAAATTTAGAACCATTTCCACTCAGCACACTTCCCGAAATGAAAAGATGTGCCAACTGAAACAAGTCTCCGATTACAGCAGTTCAGAGACAAAACGGGAGGAAAGTTTCCTAGCATGGGGGAAGAAGTGGAATGAGTGTAAGGAGAATTTGTTAGGAACGGAAAATGCACAGGAGTGACTCACGTAAGGAAATCTGTTTGCAACGGGCGAGAAATCGTTTGCCTGAGGGAATTAGCATGTGAACAACAAAGAGGACGGCTTATGTGGAAGACGTGTCCCAAAAAGAGGTGGAGGGGAAGAAATAATAAAGCAAGATCTCATACATTCCCCTCATAAAACCTAAAGTCTAACTCAAAAACAACGCATCCGCATGCTGACAGTTTCCCAACATACAGCAGCACTTTAGTATCATTGCTGCTAACATGTATTTTCCTAATACTTAGACCTAAAAGATGCCAGTTTTCTGTAAAAGCGAGTTTACCTGCCCTACGTGCTTCAGTATCAAGCTAGTCAATCGCCGCTTGGCAATTCTTTGCAATTTTAAAACTCGGCTTGGCCTGTTCACACAGTATCAGTTAGTTTATGGATTTGGATATAAGCAGCGAAACACGCAGTACTATGCTTTTTTTTTCTGCGTAAGATTTTAGGTTTCGCGCTCAAAGTTTATTGGCTTCCTCTCCACATCATTTTTTTAATGCGTTTTTTTTTTTTTTTGCATCTATCCAATGCAAAACCGTATACTGTCGAGGAATTTTCAGTGTGTGTATGTGCCGTGTGTGCGTCTGTATCGACTTTTCATCTCAAAACCTATAGAAGCTATAGGGCTGAAAGTTTGGGAACTTAATCTGCATGCATGTACGGGCCCCATCCCAAAATGGGCGCTCTTTACCCACGTGGTTCCTATGTACGGGCCCGTCAAAGTTTTTGGCGGGTAAGCCGCTAACTCGGGAGCAAGAAAAGCCAGAAAGCTGAAAACTTAAGAGGATGTTCGCCGTCAACGTAGATCTCAATGAGTTCAAACCCACTCTTCAGGTATGCGTGGTTCCCACGTGCGGGCCCGTGAAATTTTTTTGCGGGTAAGCGGCTAACTCGAGAACCTGAAAAGCTAGAACAATGGGATTTTGAAGGGATGTTTCCCGTTCACGTAGATCGTAATGCGTTCGAACCCAACTGTCAGGTATGTGCAGTATGGCATGAAATTTTCTTGCGGGTAAGCTGCTAATTCGCGAAACTGAAAAGTCAGAAAGCTGGAATTATGAGGGCATGTTTTCAGACAGTCCTAGTAGCCAGTTTCAATTCCCTCAGTTAGATCTGCCGGAAAACCGGTGTTGTTAGCGACAAAAACTTGCGGGGAACTATGCAAAAAACGCTTCTTTGCACCGACATTCGGTGAGCTGGCCATTTATTTTTTCCTCCCCCGTATAAAAAATTCCTGTAGGTACTCCCCCAACCCTCCCCCCCCTTGCCTCTCCGCCCTCCATTCTCCTAATCTTTATCCCTATTTCCAGTCATTATCTTCAAGCAAAGTCTCAAGCTTTTTTCAATTATTATCCCATCCTCTTTCTTGTGTTATGACCCACTGGGATCTAACCCACTATCTCCAGCTTCCTCAATCTTCTGCAACCCGTCTTTATCCCCTATTTTCAAATCGCCGTAGCTCGATTCCCAAATCGGCCGAGGCGAGTCAAGTTTTAGTGACTGTTCAATTCACACAGTTTCTTTTGCACCAAAGTGAGACAGTATCGCTGTGTGTGTGCGTGTGTGTGTGTGTGTGTGTATTTCTTTGTTAAATTACTTCGGGAAGTTGGAATTTCAAGAAGTAAGCCGTCTGTCACATGCGGCTCCGTCGGTTGCTTCTGCCTTCACACCATTTTAATTGCTAAATATGGTTTTAAATCCTAAAACTACCTCTGATAGAGGTCCAACATAATTTTTGCTCATGTACGGACTGTGATTTTGATTAGGGTTGCCAAATAAAAACCAAATTCTTTGAACTAATCACAACCAAAAAGTTCAAGAATTCCGTACTTCACGAGCTGTCTATGATAAATACGACAATAATGCCTACTTTTACCGCATTTTATTTACCTAGTTTCCCATCTAACACGCATGAAAGGGCAGTCTGCCCATTCCTCGACACATCTTAAAAATGTCATCGTACCTGTTTATCTCTCCCATGTGAGCGGTGTCGTCTACGGCGTGGAGAACGATTGGCGCTGCGACTTCGACTACGAGTTCGACTTCTGTCCGAAAAGCTTGAGCTCGATGAACGAATTCGGCCTGAAAAATATTTTCAAATTTTGCTCCAGTGGTCCCATCAAAAAGTACCGGAAGGCATAAATTAGTAAAGCTTACGCCGTCGATCTCTGCTGGAGCGCGACCTTGATCTGGAGCGGCTACTCGAACTCGATCTTGAACTGCTATTCCTGCTTCTATCGCTGCGTGCATTTGGCCGGTCTTTACTCCTAAACATGTTTGGTATAACTGACCACGCACTGTCAATGCTAAGGGAGCAAACCAATGGTCAAGAGGCGCGAAAACGATAGTTTCAGAGAGAGGGGGAAAGTTCAGAAGTCCAAAATGACCAAGATTGCCCAAATAATCGATCTGATAGCGCTACATTAGTGCTATCACCAATCACATATGTCAGAGGCAGGTGAGCCAAACTATCCGACTATGAATCGTGCGCCACCAGTTCGTAAACACCGTTTGTTCGATGTATGTGTGCCAAACTTTTTGGGAACCGACCAAACGATCATTTTTTTTTCGTGGATATCGTTCATTAATATGCGACATCCATCGGCCGTCGGCAAAGGGAGCAATATATATTTATTGGATTTTGCTCCCTCGCGTAGTAAGGAAATTTCAGAAAACAATAGAAATGCGTACCT